GCACCAGCTGTTGTCATAGCCGACCCTGCAGCGGGTTTTCAGAGGCTGAGCATCGAACAGGAGACGCCCCTCCTTCTCCCTCGGAGCAGCTGGTAGATCGAACTGTGTGCCTTTGGGTTGGCGAGCCACTTCTCAGCACTAAGCTCCCAAGGGCCTTCCCCAGAGCGCTCCCAAATTCAGGGTGAAGGTCAGAAGCATTTAGTGAATGGAGGAAAAAAGCCCAAACTTTTTTCTTAAAAGCTTAAACTTGAGCTTTATTCACTTAAGTTACACTTGCAGGTCAGTTATCTTGGAGTTTCTTCCTTCAAACGGTTTCCTGAGCATCGATATAAGGTTGGACTTTCAGGTCTCAGAGCTGGAGGGACATGGGAACCACCGAGCGAGGGCCGTCAGAAAAAGAAAAGCCAGGGCTGTAACCCTAGAAGGCGTGTGCATCTGTGGGGGCGGGTCATCCCAGCCATCCCCCATTCACCCAAAACCTCCTAAATGAACCCACAAGGAGCCCCACTCAAAGCTACCAAGATGCTGGGGACACGCGGGAGTCTTCGGCAGAGACCGCAAGTCCAAGGTCATGGAGAAACCGGGTGAGACACAGGGCTTATGGGGAGCAGGAAACCAGACTCAGAGGAGAGTGGAGCCAAGCGAAAACCCGCCTTCCTTGCCAAAATCAAAAGCCACCTTCTGAGCCTGCCATTCCACGGGAGGCTCCAGGCGGCACAGCTTTCCCACCCCAGGTCTCCACTGCCAAGTGCCTTCTCACCACCGTTTGAAGGAGCTCAGTCCTGGTAAGGACCCCTGTTCTCCTGAGGCATCGAGGAGAACTCTCAGCCCACCCTTAAGCATAACACCAGAACCCTCCAGGTTGGGTCCATTCACGTTCTGCTTCTCCTCTTCCACTGGTTTCCTATCTCCTCAGCGTGATGGTACTTGCACACCAACCTCAAGAGAGAAGGGGGACCCCAAAGTCCCTCACAAAAGGGATGGAGAGCTGGCGAGAACTGCTAGGTACAGGTTGACAGCCACTCACAGTGGTACTGTGGGCACCACATCTGAATCCTGCCCGGCCCTGTACCACACACCCATTGTCCCCACCACCACATGGCCCTGTCCTGTGCCACCTCCACCATCCCCACCACCTCACAGCCCTGCCCTGTACCACTCGTTCACCATCCCCACCACCTCACAGCCCTGCCCTGTACCACTCGTTCACCATCCCCACCACCTCACAGCCCTGCCCTGTGCCACCTCCACCATCCCCA